TGTGTGTGTGTGTGTGTGTGTGTGTGTGTGTGTGTGTGTGTGTGTGTGTGTGTGTGTGAGAGAGAGAGAGCTAGCCACGTCTCAGCAGTGCATAATTGCTTTATGAATAGTGTATTTTGTATGTTAAATGACCGTTAAGTGAGCGAATTATGTTCAAGGTGCTCTGAATGGCAAGCAGGCAAGCTTCCACATACAATAATCCATCTGTCTGTGATTGGATCAGCGGGGTGTGTATCGCAGCATATGCTGTTACTGCTGGGGCGAACAGCCCCTCCGTGTCCCGCAAGCATCCACCAGCTCCGAGAGCCGCGTGTCGGAAGAGCCTCAGGTCTTTGGCTCGTTTCCATGGCAGCCGCCCCCCTTCCGTTAGACAACCGGTGACTTATTGCTGGCTCCTGAGTGGAGCAGGTGTGTGGTGGCAGACGTCCCGCCCCCACCTCAAACAGATCCTATTGGCCGGTTTTTGCGCCAGCTAAGCTAGCCGACCATAACGTTGACGACATTCTACATACACTTGTGGCCCATGTTTGTGTTACCGCTGTGGGAAATAAGCTGCTTTCTTTGGTTCTGTCTTACGCAAACATGAACCGCCTAAAATTACATGAAGTCCAAGGCCAGTATCTGTAAACCGCATCAGTACTGGTGGGAACTTCTCACAGATGACCTGATGGTCCAGTTCATCACAGCACAACCCCCCCTCGCACCCATGCCAGCCCCCAAATTGGGATGTTCTAGCTCACCTGGAGAGCACAGTGCTGTTGGTACCTTCGCTCATATAGCCCACGCAGACACACAGCAATATGGCTTGTCCCTGTCTCGCTCCAACACGTCTATCTGCTGTGCCTCCTTTGAAGATTAACACTTTGCATTGTGGGAAATCCTGCGTTTTATTTGCATGCTCCCGGCATCTGTTGTCTGATTTGTTAATGTTCTCGCGTTTCCGCTGGCATTGCTGATGCTGGAATGCCTGTTATTATTCTCTCTATCTCCCCCCCCCCACCCCCACCCCAGGAGAAATGTATTGTGTTCCACTCTGTATTTCCTCCTCTATACGTTCCGCTAGCTAACCCTCTCGTCCATCTGGTTGCTCAGAATTGCGCTTAACTTCCTCAGTGCCGACATCCTGCCTTGTCCACGAGGGTCCCCGCGATGCACACGGAGATCTCCTGTGACCATGGTCACGGTTCCTCCGCTCTTTAGGGACTCCGAGTCCCCTCCCCCACGTCGCTTGGGTCATATCAAGCTCCGGCTGCCCGTTTTAGTTTTCAGTACAATCAGTCAAAATACCATTCTGATGTCGGTTCCTCCGTGCAGGACATTTAGAGACGGCGCTTCACCTAAGCACATATTTTTGGACTGTGAATGGAAACCCAGACAAAAGGAAACGATGCTCGGACCTGGTGGCAGGAATCGAACCCGCAGCCCTACTAGTGTGGGGCTATAAGGCTGCCACTTCTCAGCTTAATTAAAAGGGTTAACATATGTCTAGTATTTTCATATCTACTCAGTGCCCTGCTCTCTCAAATTGAACGTGTTCTTTTTTTTTAATGTATTTTCTATTTCTTGGTAACTTCCATGAATAAGAAATTAATTTTTTTAATAAACACTTCTTCCTGTAATGTGTATATAAATATTCACAAGTTCAACATTTATTCAGTTTTACAGCAGTGAGCAAAGTCTGGTCTTCACAGGGTTGGCAGGTAGCTCACTGTTGGTCATTCCCTACCCACCCCCCTCCAGATGGTCCTCGGGCCGGCACCGGGCCACTTGGCCAGTGGCCCCCGCGTGACCGTGACTGTGTGTTGGGTTGTCTTTCTCTAGGCGCTGGCCCAAAAGGCTCGGGAGGGAAAGCTGCTTCCTGAAGAATACCAGGGTGGTTCCTTTAGGTAAGCGTCTTAATAATGACCCTGCTGGCACACCGTAGCTCCCAAGCCATCATGGCGGCTCCCTTTCCCCTTCACTGCTGAGGCAGCAGTGGTAAGCGTTGGGCAGCAGGCCACAGCAGAGCTGGCCCGTCCTTTGTGGGACTTCACAGTAAACCATGGCTCATCTCGGACTGAATCCGGTGCTCTTACCTCATGTTACCACAGTTCCTTCTTTGTTTCGGTTTTCAATGATCCTTTCCAAGCTGTTATGACAACTGTATCTACAACGATGGGTTAATCATTGTTTAGGCAGAGCAAAGCCATTTTTTCCCCGTTAGTGACATTATAAGTTGAGTTACATGGAAGAAAGGTGAGACCCCTCCCACTGCACCCAGTTTAGGCCTGTTAACTGGTGACTATTTTCTTTGGGAAAGTTCATACACTCTCTCACGTTTTTCTACTTAATGATGTTACAGTACTTTGGGGGTTCTGTATAACAGAAGTAACAGAATGCAAACATAGACTTCCTTCTCCAAAATAGGCGCACGATTGGCTTGTATAATAAGTGACACATCTGCTGTAATAATCTCCTTTGTTACTGTGGAATATTTATATTAAACCAGCATTTTATTCGCCCTCAACACCGGTTTGAAAAGTGGAAGGCAAACAAAAGAGCGGTATGTGTAATCCATGATCCCCCGCCCCCCCATGTCCCTGTGCACATAGCATCTCCAACCTGGGCATGTTCGGCATCAGCGCCTTCAGCGCGGTCATCAACCCACCCCAGGCCTGCATCCTTGCCGTTGGCCAATCGCGGACTGAGCTGCGGCCAGCAGAGGCGGGACCCGGCGACAGGGGGACCAACGGCACGCCCGGACTCTGCAGGCAGCAGCTGATGACAGTGACGCTCTCCAGCGACGGGAGGCTGGTGGATGACGAGCTGGCCTCCCGATTCCTGGACAAGTTCCGGTCCAACCTGGAGAAGCCACAACGCATGGCCCTCGTGTAGGGAGGGGGCGAGGGAGGGGCCTTGGGGGGGGGGGTGAGGTGTTAATACGTAGAGCAAGGCAGTGGGGAGTCACTTCCAGAATGTTACACAAGATCACATGGAGAATCTGATTTGCTATTTAAGCTCAGCTCCATAACACCAGTTACCCTTTTGACTGAGCTTTGACCGTTCAGCTCCCGTCCTCTCTTTGCTGTTCTCTCTGGCTTATTTTGGCACTTTAAGTCTTCTCCCTAAATACCATATGATCATTTTTCAAGGTCAAGTTTTTTTTTGTTAAATACTGTAATCACCCCCACAAAGTATTATCTGGAAGACTTTAATAAGGTTACAGCATGAGAGGGAATTTGTGTGCTAGTATATTAAAAATATGATATGGCTCCATTCTGAGACACTGGCTTATTTATTGAAGTCCAAATGTGTGGCAGTTACAAGGCCCTGTCAACAATAAAGGGATAGAGAAATGGATACCACATGTGTTTTCCTTTTTGTCATTCATACTATACACTGCCATTGTCTAAGGATGCTTTTCCACTGCACCTGGTACTGTACCTTTAGTACTTCAGGAAAGTACCAAAATTATGGTACTTAAAAGTGTTGGGTTTCCACTGGCATAAAAACTGGTACTGGCACTGAATGACATCAGAACCCGAGGCAGAGTATTTTGTACTGAATTCAAAAAATGGTTGTAGTATGTTATAGGGCTGGACAATGTGCAATATTGATACCAAAATCACATGTTATGCAGATGCAATTCTTGCATCGCAAGGACCGTGATATTCAGCAGGGTTGAGACCAGGCTTTTACATGCCACCTTCCTACCACTTTGTCATAAGACATAAAACTTAGCAAGCATTGCAATTTTAATGATTGTTCCTTTTCAAGATTATCTGCTTAAAATTTACCGCTGCTTTTGCATGAGCGCTGCATTCATTCTAGAAGACCATCATAATCATTTTCATCTTTGCTGTTTAAATCACTCCTAGATGATTTTGAGAAATTTACATTGAACTCCTTTCTTGTTTTGTAAATACCCCTGCATTTATTACAACTAAATCAAATTGTGATATCTTAACATTTTCCAATACCGTACTGCCCTAATATATTATTTAACAAAATACTTTATTTCTTGTCATGCCTTCCTAATTTTGTTGTATCTGTTCTTCCAAGCAGATGGTAATTAAAGCTTCATTTGTCCATGCATGCAACTTTTTGTTTATCATTGTTTTCTGAGTTCATAATCTTTTTCAAGATGGTGGTCGTATTTGTGTTTCAGACGAAGGCTATTTGCACAACCAATCAACAATGAAAAGGTTTGCACGTCCCACCCCCCGAAGTACCAAAGAAGTACCCCAGCTGGTTTAGCACTTTATTTACTGGAACTTGTGGTACTTGTTCTCACAGTCAATGGAAAATGAAAAGTACTGAAAATGCCTTGCCATGGTACCTGTTGTGGTGGAAAAGTGCCCTAACTACTTCTGTAATAAAAAAGTAACCTAGAATTTCAGTTAAACTTGCCCCGAGTTTAACTCTTCAACTCTTAAATACCTCATACCGTAATGAGTAGAGTGCTGCAGCATGCAGAGGGGTGTTTAAATTTTCAGTCCCCTTCGTCCCACCCTCTTGGGTGATGCCCGCAGGCCCTCATTTATGCTGCGGTGGCTCTGGAGAATAACCGATGGGCCGAGGTGCAAGTCTGTTTTCCCTTGTTGCGACATTAGCAGTCAGCGATATTATTGCCTGTGTCACTGTGTCTGCATTGGGCTGTACGGCTAAATGTCGTCCAGGAGTCTCGCCGTGTGCTAAATATCAGCGGTCAGGGAGCGCTGTGTGCTTCTTTTCAGTCTGCAGCCGTACCTTTATATCAGAAGAAAGGAAAGTGCTGGCGTGACTTCAGTGGGGTCTGGGCTTTTGGGACAGTCTGTTCTGCCCCACTGCTGTTCTGTCACCATTGTCACCCTGGCAACCACTGGGCTCGGGCAGCACTGTGGTCAGAAAGCAAAAGGAACAGGCAAGAATACATCTCAGCCACAGGAACCTCCGTGCACTTCCACACCATTTCTACTGGGATTGAGAGTATAAGACATGGTAGTTTGGGGACTGACGATCCAGTTCATCATAGCACAATCCCCCCCATGCCAACCCTCAACATGGCGCGTTCCAATTCACGTGGAGAACACAATGCTCTTGGTTACCTTCACTCATATAACCCATGCAGTATATATCAGACAGCAATATGGATTGTCCTCGTTGAGACTATATGTTAAAGTAGGTGTTTGACTGGACACTTTAGCCCACGGTATCAAACTCCAGTCCTGGAGGGCCAGAGCCCTGCACATTTTTGGGTCCTCCAGGCTGACCTCATCTGCTCCTGCTCGCTTGGACCACACGCCTCCCTCATATGCTGTTACTGAGTGCCAAAGAGATTTAGTGTTTCTTACCCGTTCTTCTAGGGTAACGCTGCAATCATCGCTCTGTCTGCTGAATTTGCTTTAAAGCAGCAGCATAGCTGGATAGGATGTCAGTGAATCTCCATTATCTATTTATCTTGGACTGCTGGAAATTTGGCGATTACTCGCGAAGTAAACAGTGGCAGCACAGTAGCTCAGCGGGACTCCATGTAATAGAAGGTCGATAGTTATGCACTCATTCGTTACCCAGCTTGTTATTCTGTTGAATTTGATTGTTCTTAGTAGAGTGTCTCTTCATAAATGGTGTGAATTGTTGGACTCTGTCTGCAGGGGTGACCAGGCTGTAAGTGATAGACCTCGGTACACTGGCCCGGGGGGCACATGCCACTGGGATGCCAGGCTGGGCAGAGTAGAGGAAGGAATGGGCTTTAGACAAAGTGGGGGGTGTCTGCAGTGCTTCTTAGACAGAGTCCTGGCAATATCCTGTGTGGAGTAGGAGACCCACACAGGGATAATCAGCAGCTTCGGGAATCACAGACAGAAAATACAGGAACAATGTTTGGAGTAGGAGACCCCCTACATATATATCAGCTGTTTGAATTGTGACACGATGACTAGGCCAAAAGGAGAGCCATGGCCGCGATGGATAACATGCCGAATGAGACGATAATCCTGTAAATTACCATTCATTCTTGGTGGAACATCCAAAGAAAGTGGAAAAAAAATGACCCCACTCATTTCTCAGGTGCAGGCTTTAGGTTCTTCTCTTTCCTCCCACTTGAGTCTGACATTTAACTCTCAGAGCAGAAGATGTACATCTAAAAAGAAATGGGGGGAGAACTTTCTGGAAACAACCTCAAATCTAATTTGGCATTCTCTGGGACTTTCCCCCTGTGGTGAGCTTTGCACAGCTGAAGTGATCTCGCACGAATCTATCCAACCGCAAGGAATGACTGTCCGTGACACATATGGGTCACCCCCGAACCTGCCTCGTCGGGTCTTGTGATGGCCGTTCGTGAGCTGCTCGTGGCAGAGCAGACCATGTTCGTCGTCATTAGCTTGTTGACGTGAACATCCACATTGTGCTAAGGAACCTTCTGAGGAACTGAATATACTGAACATTTTTACCTCAAGACAATCAGCCAAAAAAAGAATTTATAAAATCAATGATCTCATCTTCCTTTTTATGTTATTAGACAACAATCCAACGGCAGGATCATGAACCCCACCCCCTGACTGCACGTGGCGCCTGTCACACAGGGCTTGGTCATTTCCTGCTTATTTGTTCTCCTCGTGCCGAGCGCCATTGTAGATTCCCGATTAATCATGTCCGCAGAGCCGGGCCTGTCTGGGCATGTCTGTTACCATCTCTCATCCACTCGGAACCACACGCTCTCATACACGTTTGCTTGGGCCTTGGGCATAGGATCTCATATTGTTTCCAGTCTTCTCTCTCTCCTGCTTTTCTCCTGAATATGGAACCCGCGTTTATAAATGAATCAACCCTGCCTGATAACAATTTCCGATGATTTTATTAGTTTCTAAAGCTTCCTCAGAAATGCACTTTAATCTATTATGGTATAGTTTCCAAAGACAGGTTTTTATGTTCGCTATTAATACGGCTTAGTTGTTTATTTGTTGTTATGATTGAAGAGTACAAGAGAAGTCCGCTTTGTGGAACTCCAGCTAACTCAGTGTTTGACTGCTTTGTCATCACATTTGTCAATGTCTGGTGCTAATTCTGGAACCCTGGAGTGAGGTCTGGGACAGGAACATGACACAGACCCTTTCAACTGAGCGTTCAAAGGCTTTTGACATGTCTGTCTCCAAGCAACCCCCCCCCCTAAAAAAAAAATAAAATAAAATAAAATAAAACTGTTCTGGCTGCTTTTCTATGGTAGTTTGAGAAGTGAAGTAATCCAAAATGTGAAGCCATAGTTTGTGGGTAGTGAAAACAACTGGTAACCAACAGTGCACCCAACGCAGGTTTCAGAATCATCTTTAAATATCTCGTATCTTCACTAGCATCAACAGAATGGAGGCAGCAAATATCACGTAAGCTGAGTAACTGGGTTGCTATGTCTCTTGACATTTCTGTGAGCACTGAAGGTGCAAAAAGTCTTGGGACGCTTGCTTAATTCAGCAAAAATATTACAAATGTATTGGTTTATAATAATAGTCATTCTTTTATTGATTTGTTTACAAAAAAATATGCATCACATTACAGACAACCAGTAGTTTTAAGAAAAATATTAATTTCAAGTAATAATACAGTAAAACCCAAATTATAGTTCCAAATTCTGAGTTGTTGCACCTTTGCAATAACATGAAACACCAAACATTTGCCTTTAGTAACCCTTTTGGAGCCATTGACTACAATTGCAATTATATTTAATTAATCAAAATGGCAAGAGCTGAATGTGTCAATCAAAAAATAAGATGTCTGTGTGGACTACATGTGCAGATACGTCAAAAATCGCTTGCCAATGGACATTTGTTATGAAACCAATAACTCTGCAACATTTTTACAGAATTAAGCAAGATTCCCAGGACTTTCTGTGAGCACTGTAGCTCAGGTCCATGTTGTAAATCCAACCTCCAGATCAAGCTAAAACTTCACACGCTGACTGCAGTCTGAGCCACCGCTGTGGTGGAGAACCCAACCACCCTCCCTCACTTACCCTCAAAAACATTGCCAAAGCGCTTTTATTTTCCCACTTGGGTGTCTTGTCTTTCACCACAGGAAACAACAATACCACAAACATCTTGCCACCTAATCATCTTCTGGTGGCATTCGTTACTGAAAGGTTGTAGAGTAGGTTTTAGGTACTACATAAGCTGACAAGGTTTTTTCGTTTCTGAAGCTGGTGTTCGTGGTGGCACAGTGGTTAGTGCCCCACACCTGCCGCTCTCCCACTCCACCCCCTCTCTAGCTAGCGGGATCCTGGCTTCTAGCGGAGTGAAACAGAGCATGGCTGTATGCCACACTGCACACGGCAGCTATGTCCCTGTAGGACTCGTCAATAGTGTCTCTGTATTTTTACCCAGATTAGTGATACACAGAATATACACAGTACCAGTCCAAAGTTTGAACACACCTACACATACAAGGATTTATTTGTACTTTTCTCTAAATTTAGAAAAATTGCAAACACATCAAAACTACAAATTCCATGTTAACAAACATGGAATTATGCACTGACCAAAAAAGGTTAACTCTTTTTTTTGGCTGACCCAGCTGTCTCCTCTCTTCCACTTCCATGAGGTGACCTCCTGGGATTTGGGATGCTTTTCTCTCAATCTCTGGTCCAGCTCCTCCAGAATACATGGCAGCTCGGAACGCATCTGGTTCATAAGTAGAGGAGCATCTGTGTATAACATTTTTATTAAAGCCGTGTGGTCAAAACAGGGTTTCCTTACCTGTTTGCAAATATACAGTTGAGCTATAACTATTCAGTATAGACATTTTCATTACTGCCAAGATATAAAACCAAAAATATATTATGCCTATATCTGTGTTGCATGGCTTCAGTAAGGCAGCATCAACGTAAAAGCCTTCCTGACCGTTCATGACATGGCCCTAAAACAGCAGGGTGAATGTTTATGAACTCAAAAAAAACTGGAAGGACCCTCATTTTAAATAATTACTCTTCAACAAAATTAAAAAAATATATTTTGCAAATTATGAAATTTTTAACCTGTAAGCCGTTTGTTAATGTCTTAGAATGTAACGAACTAAGCAAAGGCCTTTCCCCTCGCTCTCCTTCCCCAGGAGAATTCACTAACAGAATGGTTTGATATTGCTGTGGATTTTGGAATTCTGTGCAAAGTCACAACCAAAGTGACTGGTTACTGAACCAGAGCCCAAGCCTATTAGGGGTGCCAGTTGTCCCTAACAAGGACAACCAGATGTCCTTAACATCTACTGACCAGTGGCTAGGCTGACTAAGTAATCTATGTCAGGGAGGACGCTTTGAACTAGGACAGGATTTCTAAACTACCATTTCGATTAAAAGGACTTGGATTTTGCTTAAGCACTAAGTTCTTGCTGTGTGCTGATTGGTCAGTCTCCTTTAATCATGCATGTGTCAATAATGTTAATGTTAAACAGCTGGATGAATCTTTCAGGCGAGGAAACAAACCAGTCAAAGTACAAAAAGAACTGAACTATTCAGCCAAGCACTGGAGCCTTTCAGTTTTAAAGTGGTCCGTAAAGCCTGAAGCAGTGTCCTTCCTGAAATGGCTTATCTGGTCACCGTACCAGTGGTCCGTACCTCACACATAATGAAGACCCCAGAAAGACTTATTTTGCTCCTTTTCCATCAACTGGTCAAGACAGCCCTGGGTTGGCTGCAGTTTGCCTAGCAGGACGACATTGGAGTGTATGATGCTGTCATTTGTTTGCTGATGAAGCATAGGCCTAATTCCTGAAGAAGCAGGGAAGGATCTTTGATCTCACTAATGCTTTCAACAGCATACAAGCCAAGCTGAGGGGGAGGAGTTCAGTTCGGTGCAGGGGGACAATCCACCACAGTCAGGAAAACAGACTATCTAACTGGCAGACCACAGTTTGCGTGGCTTATGAAGGCACATGGGCCTCACAGGGCACTGTACCGTTCCCCTTCCTCTTCACCATCCACACGTCAGCATCAGTTAGACGAAGGACTCGCGCCACCTGCAGAAATTCTCTGACAGCACAGCCCAGCAATGCAGCAGGAGAATGAATACTGGGCCTTGTAAAGGAGCCTGTGGAGCCAATCAAACTGAACTATATGCATCCCGGCATCAGTTAGACGAAGGAGACGGTGGTGGACTTTATGAAGGCTATTGTCAGTGAAGACGTGGAGCTGCTGAAGACCTTGGGGTGCAGGCAGGAGTGGAGGATCAACGCGGAGGCTGTGGAATAGGAGGGTTCGAGTCTCCTGTGCTTCCCGAGGAGACCGAGGCCCTTGGGTGCGTGTGCAGGTCACTCCCACATGCCGGCCACCCGTCTGCTGTTGCCAGTGCAGTCTTTCATGCAGTGGTGTGCTGGGGCAATAGCATCAGTGCAGATGATGCCAAAAAGCTCAAACTGATCCAGAAATCCGGCTCAGTTCTAGGAGTCAGTCTGGATTCACTGGAGATAGTGGGGGAGGAGATACTACAGACCCCCACCCTCTGCGCGTCATCAGCGCTTTCAGCTACAGACTGAGGCAGCTGTGCTGCTCCACGCAGTGCTACATAAGGTGGCCCCTACCTTTGGCCATTACAGTCTACAGCAAATCACCCCTGTGTGTGTGTGGGGGGGGGGGGGGATTCAGATCGGGTTGATTCCGATCTGAATGGACCGGAAGCACTTAGGCACACTGACAGAACAAAAGGTGCAACAACAACTGTGCAATCTAATTTATTTCTGAGTCATTACTACAGAATTCTGTGTAATATGTTCACTGACATTCTCTTATGTCTTTTTCTGTCTGTTATTTATTGTTACTGTCTAAATGTTGTTTTTCTCTCTAAATGTTTGTATTGCACTACTGTAAACCTACAATATCCTGTGGAATTAGTAAAGTCTATCTCTCTCTCTCCCTCCCTCCCTTCCACCATTCAGTTACTCGTTTAATGTTAACATAACATTGGCACCCATTATATAAATCCCTCTTGCTTCCGAGTTTCTTCCCCCATAGACAAGGGCATTTCTAAAGCTTCATTCTCGGCACTGCAGGTTAAGTTTTATCAAACTGTAACCATGCTCACCTGACCCCCACCCCCCCCCGCGCCCCTCCCAAACTGCCCGGATCAAAGCCAAACACTGCACACTCCCTCCAACTCTGTTATACTGTTTGATTAACAACAGCGTGAGAACAATGAGGACTTCATCGCAGGTTTCCATTACCCGTGTTTATCCCCTATTTTCCCGTGACCCTACTGTTTACTTTTTAAAATAAAATAGCTGATCCCTCGTTCTTCCTTTCCTGCAGAATTTGTCTAACTGCATATGAGTTAAACAGAATACCCTACACTTTTAGGAAATACAGACAAGAATTTCATACCATGCATTCAGCCCTAAACACAATGATGCATTATAATTTCGTTATTTCTTTTTCCATCCTGTACTTCTGTCTGTTCAAAAACGTTTCTTTGTGCCGGGGGATGTATGAGGTATCTGAAAGTCAAACTAACAGCTGTCTATGTCGTTGTATTCTGAAAATTAATTTTAAAAATTGTATTCCTAAAAATTCCAGTATGCCAAAGACAATAAATAAATCAATAAGGCTCCATAGCACTACGCGCTTTGGACCCTTAATAAAACCAGATGCAAACGCGCTTTAAGATAGGTGCTTGTTCTTTCCGGTGTGTTACTTGTGTTTGGTTTCCTGTGAGCAATGTATGGCGGAATCTATTAAAAGACGATACTTTGTTCAATCTGACCGTTTATGAAACAAAGCAAATAAACAGTTGTATGGAAACGCGGGGGAGCAGACGGACGGACCAGTGAGCAGAAAGGAGAAGCGGCTACTGAAAGAGAGAAGCTGACCTGGGTAATTAAAGCTATGGTGCACGTGTCCCTGAACAAAGGAGCTGTAAGGGTCCAGAGAAAAGCCGGGGACCCAAATTCAAGCCCTGTGCCATCGCAAGTGACAGCATGCTAATGTGGGCTAACTGAAACACAAATGCACGTCCCTTTGGGCAGATGTTTGCTGAAAGTGGGGGCTGGAGATCACACATGAGGGCGCAGGGCGCCCTGGCATTATGGCATCGCATCCGTAATCTGTATTCATAATTACCTATTTACTACCATCTGTGTCAGGTCTTGGTCTTATTACGACGATCGCTGCGCGATTAACCCCAGTACTGGATGGTAGCAATACCGTTGAATTCAGCGCTGGTTTGAGTTGTGGTTTGCCAGTGGTAGTGCAATACGCACAAAGAAGTCACATATTAAAATACGGGGTGTGAAGTCAGTGCGATCTCTGCTCAGATGTAGAGCCGATCTTCCCTGGTGGCAAAATTCCAAACCGCCGGCAATTTATTTTTCGCTCCGTTTGCCCTTTTTATTCTGTGCGCTGTTTGCTCTCTGCGCTTTGTCTGTTTGGCACTCTATATTATGTATGTTCGTCTATGTACTACGTACGTTGTTTCTGCTGTACGTATGCGCCAGAATTCCCCCGGAATCAATAACGTCCATCCTAATCTTAATGTACTACAGAAACTAACGGAGCTTTTTCATAATTTAGAAATGCGGGCGCTTTGGTGTGTTATTCAGAGATCATGGGCATTTCTCCCAAGGAAGAAAAGGTATTTGTGGGGGATGGATGGACGATCGGTATTACACATATGGAGTCGACAAATGTGAACGTTAGTAGCGGGCAGATATATTTACATTAAACCGGAATTCCAAATTGATTCATCTAAGAGAGGTTGACTATTTAACCTGTACAGAAGATTGTGTCCTGAAAGGGTTGATGATATAGTATTTTGTAAAAGAAAATACCAAGCAAGAAATTCTCTCATGTCCCCTCTGGTTCAAATCAGCCAGATCAAACATACTGGTATACTGGTTTGACTGGATTGCTCTGGGGTCTGCCGTGTGATTTTTTTTGCCCAGACAGAAAGTGACAGGACAGTGGAGAGGAATGGAGCCCCCCTTGGAAGGGATGGTGAGAAAAAAAAAACTGCCATGTGTAAGTGTTACTATCAGGCAGGGAGGAGAAAGGATGGGGGAGAGGATGAAAGAGGGGTGAAACAAAGAGAGAGAGAACGGGCTAATGATTAAAACGAGAAAGAAACCAGTGAAAGCATAGAGAATGACAGGAAGACACTGAGGCTGTGAGACAGGGAGAGAGAGAGAGAAGGGAGGGGTGTAGAAGGAGGGAGTGAGGGAGAGAGAGAGAGAGAGAGAGCAAGCTACAGGGACAAAAAGGGTGTGAACACGCTCGTACCCCCCTCTTGGTCCCGTCTTGTGGCACTGGCCACTGGTGTGAGTGTCTCTTTTAGCCACAGAATACTAAAAAGTTGGGCAAAGTACACAGCAGCAACAGGACCTCCCAGACAACTGGCCTTTGCACCCCCCTCCAGTGGTGGCAAGACAGGGAGCAGACCTCCACCATCATCCAGTGCCCCCCCTCTCCCCCAATCACGCCTGCCGAGGATCAGCATGTGGATTTTACCCCCGTTTGTCGCCCTGGGGTTACTGGGATTCTCCCGCTCAGACACACTGGATAGCAAGATTCCCGGTGAGTGATCCGTCCTCGTTCCTTTATGTCTGGGGGGGCGGCTGAGAGGCTGTGGCGTGGCTGCCGGCACACGTGCGGGAGCCGCGCCGGGGTGTGAGTACATGCGCGAGCGCGCGTGCCGGTGCGAGCATGTGGCGGGAGACAGCCGGGGGAGCCCAGTGCGCGGAGGAGAGGGGAGGCATGCATGCTGTGGCGTAACTCTGGCGCCTCCGTTCGCGCTAAGACTGAGCGGCGGGCTTTGGCCGCGTGGGTCCCCGGGCGCCGCTGAGGCAGACACAAAGAGGGCCGTCTCTGCCGCGCGCGACCAAGAAGAGCAGGTGGCGCCGCCGCGCCTCGAATCACTCCAGTCGTTTCCAGTCACTTGATGGATGGATCTGACTGTTAGTACCTTTTCTGCCGGCCCTGGCATGGTCACTGAAGCCCACTCTCTCTCGCTCCCGTGTCGGTGCAGACAGTCTGGGGTGCTTTTTCATGCCTTTTTTTTGTTGGTGGGGGGAGGGTTGCCTGGGTTTGGGCTCACAAGAGAAGGTGGGGTTGAGTCAAACAGGTCTCAGGTTTTTTCGACTGCCTCTTGGGATGTGAATGCCAGGAAGACATGACGTGCCCCTACCCAACCCCCCATACCCCCTCCCTGGACTTATTGTTAAAGCTTCACCAGGGTACAGCTGCGGGGCCAGACCGTTACAGGAAGACAAGGGGAGGGTTGTGCACAAGTATGGTTATGTGGTGTGTGTTTATGGGGGGGGGGGTTGAACTTTCAGTTTAACCCCAGTGCACGTTCCTCATTCCTGGAGCCAGCCCACAAAGCAGTTAGCTGGGGGTGAGCTTCGCCGTGCTGTAAGGGGGGGGGCAGAGCATAGCGGCGTACATGGGACACCCAGGGTGGGAGCTGGTGTCGGGTAGATTTTCCCGCTTGCCGCGTTGGTTCCTCTGCCAGTTAGCGGCTGGGTCCTCACAGTCACGGTGATCCCAGCACAGACCCAGCGTCCCGGATTGGCCCCGCAAGCACGCTGCCTGACAGAGCCCATTCGCAGCTTCCAAGCGCTGTGTCTCCTTTCAATGGGATTGGGGGGTGATATTCCTCAGAGCGTGACTGACTAGGCTGACTCTAGACAGTGGATGGGGGCCAGAGGGGCATTTCAGACATGCATTGAACCCAGTACCCCCCCCCCACACACACACACACAAATAAACACGTGGCTGTGGGTAATATGATAGAATTCCGAAAATGCCCCCCTCCCCCGGCAGCACGCATCCTACTTTCACCCCTTTATTGGCTTTTAGGGGTGAATCTCCTCTCGTATTTCGGGTGTCCAGTATCCCACCCGCTCTGACCTCAGCTGAACCTATTAATTACACCTTAAAGCCCTGTTTTTCATGAACTCTTGGCTCACTACCCCCCCATCCCCCCCCCCAGCTCCCCGCCATATACACAGAAGTCTTTGTGGCTTCCGTGCAGCCGTTCCAGCGGGTGCATTAGTGCGGGCAGCCGCCAAGAGCAGGAGACGATTTGGGCGAGCTAACAGCCGAATCGGTGCATGCCACATCTTCCTGGACAGGAAGCTGCTCCTGGGTTCTTTTCCTTTGCCCCCATCCCCCCCCCCCCCAACCCCGATTCACATATTTACAAATTCCTGAGGGGGGCATGTTCTTATTGCAGACCATGTTTTTTTCCTCTCTTAAATCTGCCTCATCTGCAAAAAAACTAAATATAAAAAAACGGAAGGGTGAGGCGTCCGGAAAGGCAGCACAGGGGTGGCTGTCGGGGAAAGCGGACACACTGTTTACCGTAAACACGCCCGCGCTGGCGGCAAGACCTTAGCGCTCAGCGGAGGTGCCGAAACACAAAGATCTTTTTTCTCTCTTTTTGTGACTCGCGCAGCTGGAGCCAGGGGAACGAGACCCGAAAGGACTTCTCATGTTTCAGTTGGTTCCACCCACGTACAGCTATGGGGGCACCTTTACCCTGGGGAGGGCCTATCGGTCAGTAGGCCCTGTAGGGGTTTGAGGATACCATACCAGAGCTGAGGGGTCCAAGGACAGGAGTTTAAATACTAGAGGTTAAATCACTTATCAGGAAAATATCAGATGAACAATGTAATGTGATGAGATGGGAACTGATCCTTATAGCTTAATTGGAAGGTTAATATTGCGGGCATTTCCACAGTAAAGGGGCACAAATCGTCTTATTCATTCCACTTCACATAAGGTTCATGTCTGTATTTCTTTCAGTAAATAACATGCCAGAGCGGTGGCTGCAGGCATTTGCTGCTGCCTTTGAGAGAATGTGGGGGGGCACAGCACCAGTTGGGGCGTATGGTGTGAATTTCCAAGATGGAGGAGTGGGTACCCTGTGGTTCCGTGTGGTCCGGCTTAGGTTTAGCTTCGCAGGTTCCCCGTGGTAGGCCCACGTGAGGCTGGAAACTCCCATCGCTCACACGGCCCAGGCTCCACCCACCAGGCTCCGCCCACCAGGCCGCCCACCAGGTCGCCCACGGAGCAGGGCGTCCGCCGGCCGCGGCGGAGCGTCCCGTTATGCCCTGAACCAGGCCAAGCTGCTGGCAGACTGGCCAGTGAGACCCGTTACTATGGGGGCCTTTTATCAGGCGATGTTGCGATTAGTGGGGATTTCAGCAGTTTGGACTTCGTTCTTTTAAAGGAAGGTGTGGCTCTTTCTCCCTTAACAGGACACAGATGCCTTGATGTGTAATTTGCAATTAAATAGAAATCCAGCGGCAGGCTCATCATCTCTTCTGGGCTAGAAGTAATAACCTGCCCTGCCAGACAGAGATAAGCAGACCACCACTGTGCATAAACACCATCCACAGCCTTGCAGGACTGTAGCTATTCTCTGTAGGCTGGAATTTTCTTTCTTCTTTGACCCACTTTCAAACTTTGGGTCCATTAATTCATGCAGGGCGCTGATGGGGAGTGATGGTACGCCTTATCTCTGAGCCATTTCTTTCACGGGTGCAGGTTGGCAGGGGCCAGACCCTGGGTACCATTGGCGCAATGGAATGGGGGTTTGGGAGTTTTCGTCTCCCGTTTACACGTCAGACCGGTGTGGCTGACTGTGTTTCGGCAGGTCAGAGCGCAAGTCGTCCCAGCAGACCCAGCCGTAGCATTTTCACAGCTGCAAGACGAAACACAGCTGCGTCGTGTCAGCGCATACTGCGCACCACAGAGAGCAGAGAGGGTGAGATTTTCACAATGACTTCGGATGGAAGAGGAAGCACGGTTTCTCGCCCGTAGCTGATTTTGTACTTGTTTGCTTGGTTTCCATGGCGATGATCTTTTGGGCCTAATGAGCTCTCTTAGATCTGACAAGCTTGGAATCAATCTTAAACAAACATAATAAATTATACTTAAGCAGGTAGTAATTTGATTTTAGGGCTAATCTGACGGGCCCCAAGCGGGCAGCCATGAACGGACTGTACTGGCACACATGGTTAATAATACCATGAAAGGGTGGCATTACCAGGGCGGGTGGCTTTCTGGCATGACCAGGTGAAGCAGTAGAAGCAGATTCATAAGACCTCCATGCCCCCACCCTTTAGGGAGCTGAGCCCTGCCTGTGTGAGGGGAACATGTGGCCTTCATTTGGCTTCGATCCGTGCCGGCGAGGTGTATATCACGACCCTTTACCTGACCACATTTATTGTATGCTACGCTTTTACATTTAAACCTCGAAAAACATGGTGTCAGAGTTTGATTCAATTAAGGGTACGTTAAGCATTACCCATGAATGAAAATTCTTGGGTAAAACACCAAACTTTTCATTTCTTGCTGTTAAAATAGTGAGGGAAAATATCCATCTCTTTTCCATAATTTCTATATTTACACCGAGTAGAATAGTGCCTCGTTGTCCACAAGGAAATGAATTTATCCTATGACACGCCGGGTGAATGGTCTGGATGGGATACCAGTCCACCTCAGCACACATATCCACACCATACAGACAATATAGCGACATCGCTTAGACTAACTGCTAATCAGCATCGCTTAGCCTAATCACATGAGGGCCTCAGAGGAGACTCACATAACACAGGTAGGAACACTGGCTTCACATGCGGCAGGACTTGAACCTGTAACACTGGATACATGAGGTTGTGGGGCTGCTCCCTAAATCCATGTGCATTGTATTAGATGCTTAAGGCCAGTATTTAAAGATCATCCAAGAGTCCAATAGGAGTTAGAGCCACAGCTAAGTGTGAGTTCAAGTTAAACAGCAGCACCCATTTGCAGATACAGTGAGTGTGAGCTGCAGGGCGATGGAGTCGCGATATTCTGCTATAACTGTAATACCCCTCAGCTGAATACTCAGAATGCTGGCCAGACTCACCTAAACTTTCTACATTCCACTTTTCTTCATATTAATTGCTTATATTTTTGTATTACTCTTCGTTGATCATGCCATGCGATGGGTTGGCGCCTCATCCTGGGTTGTTCCCCGCCTTACGCCCATAGCCTCAGGGATAGGCCCCGCGACCCTGAATACGACAAGTGGTTACAGAAAATGCATGGATGGATGGACTTTTTTGATCCCCACAAACATGTTCAAAAATCCATCCATCTATTGACCAATTATCCTGCCTACAGCCGCAGGGGGTCCTGGACCCTATCCCAGGTCACTTAAGAGCAGGTTGGAACAATTGCTCAGAGAAGTGTGAGACCGATGGGTTTGATGTCGTGTTCCTTTCCCAGCGGTGATGTCACGTGGCTGCAGCTATGTTGGAGTTTTCCATGTAGTGGGAGGATCCCGCTACGCTCTAGACTTCCAGCAAGCGGAGAATGTCTGCAGGAGCCTGGGGACCACACTGGCCTCCTTGGAAAACATCACAGCAGCCTACAAGAAAGACATGGAGATATGCAGGTGGAGCTACCACAGACAGCGCCGGCCACGCCGACACCGGCAGAGCACATTCAGACGATGACTTGTTATCTGCACATATCTGTCAGTTTGTTTGTGGTGTGAAATTGCCGTTACCATAACGACGCTCCTCTGTCAACAAATACAAATTCAGTTGTATTTCCACCATCACAACAGTGCGACATCATATTAACAAAATACGAATAAAATACGAATTATTTTACACTTACCCCTTCCTGTAATTATCAGCTACTTTAAAGCTTTTGCACCATTACATTTTTAATCCAGTAACATCAGTCACGTTATGATATCCAGTAATATCTTCTTGTTTGTCCGTAGATACGGCTGGATCAGCAATGGGAACGTAACCATTCTCAGGAGAACACCTCACCCCAACTGTGCCAACAACTTAACAGGAATTTTATATTATGCTGATTCCTCAGGCTCCCTCGTGCACTTTGACGCCTACTGCTTTGACGAAAAGGGTAAGGTCTTCTCTGTTTAATGTCCTCAGAGACAAAGCTAGATAAGAGCTAGATAAGATTTTAACAACTCTGAGCTATTAGCTAAGTTCTCCCCAAACGAGCTTGATGGGCCGAATGGCCTCCTCTCGTTTGTAAATTTCTTATGTTCTTATGTTCTAATAACAAAGAAGAAATTGCATGTTTTCCACATTGTTTTGTCACTAGCATTTGTAAATTTTTTTTTTTACTTTCGAATGTTTGATATGTAGTCCCTCTGCCTTTATATGTGAAACTGGAAAAAAAATTAAACAAGAGCAGTTCAGGTTATGACTTTTAACCTACAGTAATTTAAGTAGACGACAAATCCACTCCCACGCGGGGTTCTGCTGAGGTACCTGAAATCTTCTAAAGATTGAGTTGTCATCAAATGGCGTAACGTGTACCTCTTTGGATGAACGCATCGGCTTAGAAAGTAAAACAATTTCAGTGACCACAAACGTTTCAAATTGTGTGGGGTATGACTTGTTGGACCATGTTTATTCAGAGCTTATCTGATGTGATTTTCTTTTCAATATGAATCACAGCAATGAAGCTGAAAGAGATCATAAAATAACAGGCTAAAGCCAAATGCAGCTCTTGAAAACACTCCTGAAAATGTGACAGTCGTAAGTGGAATTGATGGGCAGCTAGTTTCTGTTCACGTTCTGTTAGAAAATGGTTGAGTCTGTTTGCATTTGAGCTCGCAGCACCAGGCCTGAAGATGTGTTTGTTTCTTGGTTTTATGACAGACCTTTCAGACAAGAACTGCAGCGCCGCTTTCACTCGTAATGCGAACGACACAGACAGCGTTCCTTCAGGAGATGGTGTGGGGGGAGCAGCAGGTGAGATACACGCCCGCAGATGTACTCAGGAAGTGCTTTGCTCGTCAGCAGCAGTCAAGGGAAATTCACGACTCAACTGAAAAATTTAAAACAAAAAAACGCCACAGGCTGTGAGGAGTAGGAGATTTAACACGTTTGTTTGCAGCATTAATGTAACACTGTGGTCTCTTCTGGAAAACCAAACAATACAGTAACAGGAGGGTGTTTTATGCTGGGTGGTGCGGTGAAGGTCATCTGAGAAAAAAATCCCAGGTTCAGATCTCAGTAAAGATTTTTTTTTTCTTTGATCAGGAATGCTTCTGCAAACAATCAAAGATTCAAAAGGGATTATATTGATGGTTAACTATTGTGTTGGCCCCTTTGTTAGCACTAAATCGAGTTGTGAAGATAATTTGGTAATCTGTCACCTTAGTGTCTAAAGCAGTGCTTCCCAACCCAGACCTCGGGGAACCCCGGACAGTCCACGTTTTTGCTCCATCCCAGCTCCGAGCCAATCAGGAACACCGAATACCTGGTACAGGCCCGCTGGAAGCTGGGAGGAATCAAAAACGTGGACTGTCACCGAGGACTGGGATGGGAAACACTGGTCTAAAGGGCATTGCTTCCTCACAGCAAGTCCAGTGAAGGCCATGGAGACTTTCTGGCCGGAAAGTGTTTCCATGCCGGGATGTTTATAAACAGTGAACCTTTTTGCCTGCTTTGGCCTTCTGGCATGTCCAGGAGGACCAAATTATGATGAACAACCAAAACGTTTCTTTATGCAAAAGTTAGCAGTTTAGCAATTAGCTTCTTAGTATTGTACTATTGGTCCATATTATCTAACTAGATTTTTTAGAGTTAGCACTCCGTAAAATGTTTCCAAACAAGTAAGATTTTTTAAAGACTTCATGTTGTTGGTGGTAATTCTTGAGTCATGAGTTGGGATGGGAATCTTTTGGTATGAAGATCAGCTTGTTGTCCCTTCCGTTAGTGGCTCTACATTCACATAAACCATTTAAAAACGTAAACACTGAGAAAGTAATTAGCAGCTATGAGAATACGGAGTGCAGAGATTCCTTTGTGCTTTTTTTTTAGATGCATGATGCTAGACATTATGAGGTAATGAACCCGTAAACACAGCCCCACTTTCTAACACAGCTCAGGGCATTCGCTCACCTGCCACTGGAATGCAGTGCTTTTATTTAACTGGTGGCATAATAAATCAGGCAGCTGATCTCATACTTTGCATAAGAAATGTAAGGATAATATTAAGGTAATTGATTAACAGTAATTGATTAGGAGATGCTGTTAATGATGAATTCGATTCCTGCCCCAGGTATGTGTGCGAGGAGTTATTTACATGAATGTACTCCATCAGTGCGAAGGCATGTTCTGTCATCTTTAAATTGCCCATAATCACCCGTGTTGCGTTGTTATTCCATTCAAAATGTCCCCTGTCTTATGACATCGACCCTGGCTCACCCTGAACCGATAATAATAATAATTTACACTTTTATTAATCCCCGTGGGGAAATTCTTTTTACGCCTCCCTCAACTTGCTCTTTGTAGAGCAAGCTGTCCGCGAAGGGCAGCCACCCGTAGCGGCGCCTGGGGAGCTGGGGATTGAGGGTCTTGCTCAAGGACCCACAGACGTGCTGAGGCTGGGCTTGAACCGGCGACCTTGTGATTACAGGCACACGGCTTAACCCACTGAGCCACACGCTGCCCCTTATGACCATGCAGTTGCAGTCTCACTGCTTTAGCAACAAAAATGCTTAATTACTTCCTTGTGTCCATCGTTCCACTACAGAGGCCGAGGGTTCCGATGAGACACCTCAGACGTACACCTCCGCCACAAATGAGTGGGTCAGTCCCTCAGACTCAGAAGATGACACCACGGTGACCCCTGACCCTTTGACATTCACAGAAGCATATATAAGCTCCAATCCAACAGAAACCCAGAACAGAACAGACCGAGTGAATGGGGTGGAGGACAAGTATGATGTGGTCTCCTCACTACCAACAATCAGCATGACCTCCAGCCTAGAAGAGGAATCTGACGGTATAGCCGGATCAGGGACACCGCCAGACGAAGCTACCCTGATGTCCGATGTGCCCGACACTATAAACACACGAGGTAAAGGTGAGATGTACTGGTGCTGCTGGTGAACAGCATGTGATTAAAGTAAAGATGGTTATTTATTTTTCACTTATGAATGTAGGACGTGAGGCCAGTGAAGGTACCATTGGGAACTTTTGTACTGAAATTATAGTTATATAATTTATATTATAATTATATAATTACATATTATATAATAACATCTGTAGTGAAATTATACTGAGTCATACAGTAAGTAGGAATGAAAATAGAATATATTATCCATCTGTCCAATGGGTAGGAAGCAGTTGGATGGGGAGGACCTGTGCCCCCCAGTATTTCATTTGGATTGTCGTTCATCCCCCCCCCCCCCCCCCCCCAATAAACAGACCTTAGTATTTAAATTGTGTCCCCCCCCCCAATATCAAACTCTCTGCTATACTGTTGCCTCCATGCATCTTCCACCTGCTCACTTATGACTAGGTCCTAGAAGGTTCTACGGGGTTAAATAGATATTAGGACATGTACACAAAATGTAAAATCATGTAGAAAACAAAAGGTTTCAGAGAGAAGTGCAAAAGCATCAGTTCTCATCCATCCTTATCGACACATTCTTAGTATTAAATGAAGAACAACTCTGCACATATGTTTACATTTCGCAGTTTGGTAGTCATGGTAACGGCAGATAGTTCTGCGGTTCATCCCTGCGGTCTAAACCACCCCTGCAGTAAGAGCAGCTGGTGGAAAGCTGCTGCTGATGATAAGGTGCATGACTGGAAGGTTAAAGGTTCAAATCCTGACCTGATAACTGAGTGCTAAGTTGGGAATTGGACCTACACACCATGGTCATACACACCATGGTCAGACTAATAATACTGCTTACCACAGTATCACCAAATGGGGAGTAGTACTTCACAGTCTACCATACACATGCTGAATTGCTTTCAGAGGATTAGAAATTTACTGGGAAAAACCCGGAACCCACACAATTAGGTTAAACTCAGAATCTTCCTAAAGGTGATCTTTGAGCAGTTCTGAACAGCTCTGACCAGAGAGCTGGAAGGGTCTGGTTAGTCATTTATGATCAGTAGCACTACAATAAAATCATGCACAGAAACAAAATTAGCTGCACTTCCAGTTCAGGCTCGAGACAAATAAAAAGTCAAATCTGGAGAGGAAATGCCCCCTCTAGTGTTCAGGGCTACAACTACACCAGATAGTAATAATTTACAAACCTCAGTGTGTAAAAGTACCGTCCATTAAGTGCGCCAGTGAGGTAACATTATTTTTAAATGAATAAGTATTATTTTATGAAACTTTTGGCCCATTTCAAAACATTCTATTATAATAAAGATTTACACACATCAATCTATTAATCTATTCAGGAGATTGGATGGATGGATGGATGGATGGAGGAAAGGAGGTAAAGAGGGTGGGAGGGATACCTGTGATTAACAGGTTTTAGTTAAAGTGTCTCTAAATTTTTTATTATCTTGTTTTACCACAGATAATAAACAGAATCGCATGGTACCACGTGGTGGAGAAACAGAGAATACTAATGGGGTACCAGGTGAGTGGTCTACATTATTAAAAGATGGGAACATATCAGTGGTGTGGTCTACATTATTAAAACATGGAAATATATTAGGCGAGTGGTCTGCAATACTAAAAGTAAGGAACATACCCGGTCAGTGGTCTACAAATATTAAAGGTTGGAAATATACCAGATGTTTGGTCTATGTTAGTAAATAATGGGAAAATATCAGGTGTGTGATCAACGTTATTTAAAGATGGGAATATACTAGGCGTGTGGTCCACTTTATTAAAACATGGGAACATGCCAGGTGAGTGGTCTATTTTAGTGTTTCCTAATCTGGTCCTCTGGGAGTAAAAACATGGACCGTTTGTGGGTCGCCGAGGACCGGGTTTGGGAACACTGGTCTATGTTATTAAAAGATGGGAACATACGAGACGTGTGGTCTATGCTATTAAATGATGAGAACATATGAGGTCTATATTATTAAAAGATGAGAACATACCAGGTGAGTGGTCTATGTTATAAAAAGATGGGATTGTACCAGGTGGGTGGTCTACTTCATTAACAACTCCAGCTCAAACAGTGCTAGAAGCCAAAACACTCAATGCATATTTTCTGTTAAATATTTGTCTTTTTCCAGTTTTAATACGGTGGGTCACTGTCGATGTGCCCTCGTCTGACTGACTTGCATCCTTCTGCCCCCAGACTGGCTGATCATCTTGCTCGTGGTCTTGGTGGTGTTGATCATCATTCTAATAGCTGTTGCAGTTGCCAATAGGAATAGGTGGGTCCACAACACTCATTTCTGGCTGCTGTATGAAAGATTTATGTACTTTAGGAGCAAGGCCATACCACAATCCTATTCTGCTTGACTTTTATTTATGTAGGATGTGCACTGAATAATTAGCCACATGTAAATCCTCCCAGTTGCACAGTATCATACGTATCTAGTTGGCAGGGTGACGGGTGATGGCTGAGATCTTCTTGTTTGTTTTGTGCTGCGGCAGATTGTGTGGAAAGCATCAGACTCTGATGATCAGCAAGGATGGAGGTGAAGGGAACGGGGCAGCGGCGGGGGCGGCAGCCAGCTCACGAGCCGAGGAACGAGAGCAGGAGATGGTGACGCTGATGCACAAGGAGAACATCCAGGAGAACGGCAAAAAGGAGGAGTTCACCGTCATTGCTCTAGAGGAGTCACCAGAGAAGGCCGAGCTGGCGTGAAATGAGGGCGGGGACGACGGGGGTGGGGGGGTTTAGTGAGGCGCGGCCCGAGCAAACCTGGGGGGTTGGCCAGCAGATGTTTTGGTGTACTGTTTGGCCTGATAAACGTGATGCCGTACTTAACTTGTCAAATGTGTATTTGAGAAGGAACATTGAGTCATTTAACTTGATGATTAATCCAAACGTGCCATCAGTAGCCTCCCTGAAGCTTCAGAAGTCAAAATCCAGACTCTTCTAGGTCCAAGAGCTACATAGAGTGTGAGCTAAGGGGAGAGCATAGGAGAGGTTGGGTGCGTTGGTAAGGGAAAATAATCAGTTGGGGGGGTGGGGTGGGCATTACTGGGAGGTGGAGTAAAATCCTCCTCAGGGGCTAAGGAATGAAGGACAGGATGTATATATATAAATATGGTATTTTCTGAATCACACACCTGACCGTCTGAAAGACAGAACAAGAGAAACGCAGACAACCATCATGACAGGAGGGTAGGGCAAGGGG